CACACATACACACACACACACACACACACACACACACGCACTGGAGAGAATCTGGGGTTTCTGAAAAAAACAACACACATTTCGGTGTCTTGCTAGCTCGCTGTCCTGGCAGATTTGAGGGGTTAGGATAGGGCTCGTACTACCGGTCGCGAGATATTCTGTTTTTGTGGTTGGATATGGTTGGATGTTTTTTGTTGATTATACACGGCGTAATTCTTTGCCCTGCGTTAGAGCATGGGCATCTTACTGAAGGAATGTCTGTGGGTGGCCACGAGGTTTTTGGGGTGGGAATGTATGTTTGGAGTTTTGGCCAGAGTATCTTCGAGAGGAGGCTCAGAGAGCGTTCGCTGTGGGTGGGTGTCATTCCCACGGGCTGCTTTTTTGGAGCTCGTGGAAGAAATGGGCGCTTCCAGGGAGGGTGTTTTAAGCAGCAGCGCTCCTGCTGTTGCATGAAGATCTTGTGGTCCTTGGGATTATGGTACTCATACACTCCAGGGATAGTCAGCAAAGTGAAAAGGGGGTTTGTGTAGCCATGGAGTGATAGAGATGGTGGTGATGTGAGTGAGTTGTTTGGGACGAGTGGCAGTGTCAATGCTGTGATTTTGTAATTAATTTTGTGGTTTTGTGGGCCGACGATTCGAAGGGCTCTCCAAGTTTTCTTCCTGATCAGTCGGTGACAATCCGAAGAAACAGTTTGGCACAGTCATGCTTTTCTTCCTAGACCCTCCTATTGGGGGCATGACAACACACTCTGTGTGTGTGTGTGTGTGTGTGTGTGTGTGTGTGTGTGTGTGTGTGTAATACATGTTTTATATGCTCCAGTACGTGGCATGCTCTGAGCCACAATCCATCATGAAGACCAGCCAACTACCGTCTTCCTTCCACAGCCTTCAATATGGATATGTGATTGAGACTAATACTAAGTTTCACCCAGGGCAGAAATTGACTGACTCCCAAAGATGCATTCCAATGCTTCACAGTGCAGTGCACCATCGAGAAAAATATACCCCAGGTGACCCCAACATGCGTGCTTGACAAAGGCTATGTATCATTCCCACAGCACGGGGCACAAGAACAATAAACGAAGGCGCAAAGGGTTACTGGCAGATTGTCAGACGCTGACCGACTCGTCAGGAGACTGAACAGTGAACCCTGGACAGTCTGCAGAATCCCCCTATTTGGAATGCTTCGAGTCCTAGTCTACGTTTAACCCTTAGTCTACTTTAACCCCTTAGTCTACTTTAACCCCCTAGTCTACTTCAACCCCTTAGTCTACTTTAACCCCTGTTGTGAGTGGACAGGCAGGTAGGCGACAAGGCAAGCAGCAAGGCAAAGCAGGCAGCAGTAGCACAAAGGGCGGGTTGGTGGGGGTAGGCAGGGGGGGCCTGAAGGCAAACGCAGGCAAGCAGGAAGGCAACACCAGGCAAGCAGGGGAGAAGCCAGGCAGTGGGCCAGAAGAAAAGCAGAGGGCGTGTGGGCTGGCAAGGCAAGGCAAGTCACAGCCAAGCACGGACGGGCAGGTGGGCGGCAAAGTAAGCATCAGGACAAGCAGGCAGGCAACACCAGGCAAGCCGGGGAGCAGCCAGGGGCAGTGGGGCAGCAGAAGCAGAGGGTGGGCGGGCTGGTAAGGCAAGGCAAAGTGTGACAGCCAACTTGAAGTGCGAATCGGCAGGTGGGCAGCAAAGCAAAGCATCAGGACAAGCAGGCAGGCAAAGACAAGTAGCAACCGAGTACGAGCTGCTGTGCAGGAAGCAAAGCAAGCATCAAGACAAGCAGCAGGGTGGGGGGTGGTCATTATTAGCCCAGTGGCTAGAGCACCGGGTGGAAATCCGCATAATTGTGGTTTTTGAGGTTGTGGGTTCAAAACTCTGCAGCCTTGCACATGGACACCGGCAGGGGGGCGTTAACTGACGCATGGCCAATCGGACACCCGGGCCCTTGGGTTGGCGCATCGTAAGGACAACAGCCACTGCCTGTTCCATCCAAGGGGTGCAGTCCATGGTTGTTGTGCACTGGGGCTTAGGCTATGAGAGGTCTGCCTGATGTTCTTGGTCCATGGGTTGCTCTGATGATTGTTCACGCACTTGTCTCCCAGTCTAGTACAACGCACAAACAGACCAGTTGTCATTGTAGTTCAGTGGGTCTCCGCTAGGGGCTGTATAGAAGAGGTCGAGGGTTCGAATCTGATCAGGCGAGGCGGAGCATATTCGCACAGAAATAGTTGGGATGCAGGCAGGGATATTGTGGTAAGATTGATCACGTGAGTTGGTTACCTTAGGACCTTGCTCGGGGGGGGCATGGCTGCAGGTGGAGTATTAGGGGGGTCCCGTTAGTTGGGGGGATTAGGTAGGAGAGTCCTGAGGTAGGACCTCCGGGGGGGATAAACCAGAATAAGGCCCAGTCGATGATAGAGGTAAGAGGAACAGATGGTAGCCTAGTACGTACCAGTGACTGAGACCGGTGCTGCTCTGGACGAGGGCTCAGGGGGGGATCTTGCAGTAGGGGGGTCTTAGGGATAGATAATGGTGGGATAGGTTGCTTCCTACATTGACAAATAGACCAGAGTGACCTGGTTGACGACGGAGGTAAGAGGAACGGATGTTGGCCTAGTACGTACTCATGACGGAAACTGGGGCTGCACTGCGTGATGACAACCTACAATATAGCAGCTGGAGGGTGTTAGTTGATGACCGAGGTAAGGGGACGGATGGTGGCCAGAGATCCTCCAATAACAGAGGCTAGGGTACCTCCAGATGGTTTACAATGAACAACGATCAGAGAGAGGTCTAGGGGATGTCTATAGGTAGAGGGGCGGATGGTGGCCGTACATCTATGGATAATAGGCTAGAACCTCCAGGTTGCAATTACAATTACAGCGGTACATATAGTGAACAATACAACTAGGTACGAGCAGAACAAGGAATAAAAATGGCTTGGGGAACAGCAATGGGTTCACCTATGGGACTTGTAGAAGAACGTCTACGCGTAGCGCTCGACATCCCCGTACGACGGCTCGTCTGACTGTGTGTCAATCAGGGCTGAGCTGGGTAGGTCCTGCTCAGCCCTGGTGCCTACAACCAGTGTCTGGTCAGGTCATCCCCGTACGGATGATGGGTGGGTGGTGATCCTGAGTGGTAAACACTGAGGTGGGATTGTGGGAATAGGGGTGCGCCAAAAATAGGGACCTCTATAGACCATCTGGATAACGAAATGGCCGACAACTGAAGGTGACTGTCATATGTCTACGGTTTTCACCCGAATAGAACGCCCGGTCATTATCGCTGCATCTAGACAGATAACTGCCCCAGATACGGCTATGATGACCGGGCGTTCTATTCGGGTGAAGACGGTAGCATCCAACCTATACAACAAGCCAAGGAACAAAACCAAGCAGTCGGATAGCAAGCCAACAACAAGGCAAGCGGGAAAGGACTAAGGCAATTCAGGGCAAGCAGCCAGGCAGTACGGAGGCAAGGCAATTCAGGGCAAGCAGCCAGGCAGTACGGAGGCAAGGTAATTCAGGGCAAGCAGATGGGCAGCCAGGCAGTATGGAGGCAGAGACTAGGCAGTCCCACTTTCCAAACACGGACCAAAGCAGATCATCACCTACTCACATCACAGATAGAACTCTACAGACTGTAGGTTCACGCCAGTATCGGAGCCAGGGAGTCACCTCACTGAATGTCTGTTATCACCAGGGGCAGCCCCCAAAAGTTGCTGCAGGCACTCCGTACAAGCAGGCACTGACTATTTGGCACACCTTGAAGGTGCTCGCTCACTTAGACACAGAAGAACACAGGAAAAGGCCCCAGGGCACAAAACGTGGACAGCACAAACTTTAAGACAGTACCTAGAAAGAAAGGAAAGGAGGAAAACGACTTATAAACAATATGACTGTGTGGGTGGGTGTGCGTGAGTACTGTTCAAACCTTAAACCGCCACTACATCTCCCAGGCAAACTTGAGAGTCGAAATCAAGCCAATCCAAAAATTTTGGGGACTCGGGGCTACCGGATGACAATGGCTGGCAGCGCCAGCCAAAAAAGAGAAAGAAGTGCACTGCTGGCAGGGGCAGTGCGTATCTGCCACGGCAAAATGAAGCGCAGATGTACTGATCCTTGCATCTCGGCTGGATGCACTGTGTCCATACTGCTACGGAAACTACAGCAGTGCAGCCTTGCCCTAAATGCAACGGACACAATCTAAGGGCATTGCATGTGGTCAAAACGTTGCAAGGCAGTTGTTTATATTCGCAGTGCTCTCCTTTTTTTTTTTTCTGTGTGTGTGTGTGTCTTTGTCTGTGCATGCATGCCTCTGTGTGTGTGTGTGTGTGTGTGTGTGTGTGCGTGTGTGTGTGTGTGTGTGTGTGTGTGCGTTTATCAGGACAAACAGCGATCCTGCTGAAAGTCCTGGACACGGACTGAGGCCGGTTGGAGGCGAGTCTGACGTCAGGGGTTGGTTTGTGCCTTGTGTCTGCAGTTGGGAATCAGAGGCGGGCTGTATATGGTCCCACCTTTGCGCTTGCATACATGCGGTTGAGGCTTTCAGGCGTAACTTCATTTTCGTGTCAGTGCTGCTACAATGGCGGCTGCCTCATCATCACTGATGCAATGTGTGTCAGCACCAGCGAGCACATCTTCCTCTTCGGCAGCAACTGAGCTCTGCAGATCTCGTGCCGCAGCTGCCTCAGCAGCACACACTGTGACCAAACTGATTCCTGATAAGTGCAAAGGAGTGGTGGTACGCCTTGCGTCGACGTTCTCACGCAATGCCGTCGCGCCGCCCTCACGGCTTTCCAGATTGGGTCCGTCTGGAGGGTCGAAATGGGATGCACTTTTCAAGTTTGGAAAGTTCGGGTTTAGCTCAGAGGATGCTGGCATGTATGGCAGTCAGGGACGGGACGACTACGGCCGAGATGATGTTGAACAGGTACGTTGTATTTTGAACTCTTTTTCGTCTTTTTTTCTCGTTTAAACTTTAAATTGAAGGGTGGACCAATCCCCTTGGATTATTGTATCCATCAGGATTTGAAGTCGTGGTCTGTTAAACTCTGTTTACCAACAGTTGACTTATGTGTTAGAGCCAGGCAGGTCACAGAGAACTGCCCCGGTGGACGGTAGGCAGAAAGGGAGAAAAGGACGAAAAACGGAGGGCTGTGACAGATGGTTTGGCCGGACTTCCACCGACCATGAGGAGGCTGAAGCACCTGCGCCAGCCTGTGTTTCCAAACACACAAATCAGCAAACGAACAGACAATCAAACAAAACAAAAGAGAAGAGAAAAGAAGAGAGGAGCAGAGAGGAGCAGAGAGGAGAGCAGAGGAGAGCAGAGGAGAGGAGAGGAGAGCAGAAGAGAGCAAAGAGGAGCATGGAGGAGAGCAGAGGAGAGCAGAGGAGAGCAGAGGAGAGCAGAGGAGAAGCGAAGAGAAGAGAAGCGAAGAGAACTAAAGAGAAGTGAACCAAGCCAAACCAAACTGAACCGAACTCAAACTGAACTGAGCCTAAACCGAACTGAGCCGAATGCAACTGACCTACTGAATTGAACCCAACCCAGCCCAGTGAAGTCAAACAAAACCAAAACTGCAACTAGAAGCAAAACCAGAACAAAACCGTACCAACTCAGAGAGGACAGGAACTGAACTGAATCAAACTCGAACTTAACTAACTGAAACAAATCTAGAACCGGAAACCAAAACCACACAAAAACCCTTGTGCTCCTCGTCTTTCTCCTTCTCCTCCTCCTCTTCCTCCTCCTCCTGCTCCTCCTCCCCCTCCTCCTCCTCCTCCTCCGTGTCCTCCTGTTCGCCTCCGCCTCCTCCTCCTCCTCCTCCTCCCCCTCCTTTATTATCGTTATCATTATCACAAATTATGATTGTCATGGATGGTGGTTGTTATCCTGGTGGCTTGGTTATTGCGAATCCGTCTAAAAATTTTCCTTATTGGGTGCATGTTCTTGTGTGTGTGTGTGTGTGTGTGTGTGTTTTAACCCTTTTCTTGACCAGTACTTCAACTACACAGGGATGCTTGCAGTAGAGGGAACGTACGACAAGATGTATGCTTTGCTGGACATGGAAATCCATCCCGTTGATATTCTACTGTTGTTTGCGGCCACTGAAGGCGACAGACCAAAGATACAGGAACTGTTGAAAGCTGGTGCCAGGATCGATGTTGAAGATGTCGACGGAAGGACCGCGGTTGATCGAGCTGCGGACGAGGAAATCAAGCAACTTATTCTCAAAGGAGCACAGGCTGCAAATAGTTCTCTCACCTAACTGGGGGGTGAAAAAAAAGGGGAAAAGGCAAAAGTCGCAAATGAATCTGGATCAAAAAAAGGGAAGAGGGGACAACAACAAAAAAGGGTTCATCAGAGCGACAAATAAATAACACCCTTGCTCCAGGGTAGTCGTCTTGTGGACCTGTGACAGAGAGCTTTCTTCAGATCCAAGGTCCAAGTGGGGGTTGCAGGGTCTGCTGCCCTTTCCGTGACCAATTCGGCGACAAGAGGTTGCAAAAGATCAGTGGCCAGAAATGAAGCATCGGATTCTGCGCAAAGTTCGCGAACTAACGTGACAATCAATTGCCAGAGACGAAGCATATGTACGATAACTTATGTGGATTCACGATGCCTTTTTCGGATCGTGACAGACTCTACTACGAAGATCAACGGCGAGAGATGAAGCATCTGCACAAGCAGGGTACCGCCCTCAGGATGCAAGCGCCCAGAGTACTTAGGCAAAATGGCAACTCATCCGTTCAGCAATGAACAGATAAAGTTTTAGGCAAGACCATCTTTTCCATCTTAAAAAATTAAAAAAAAAAAAAAAAAAAAAAAAAAAAAAGGGCACACCCTGGAGACGCATGTCAGTCCTGGGCTCGGGCTGTACGCTCAAGGTGCAGCTCTGTGACACCTTTTTTTTGTTTCTTTCTTTGCAAGACATAGGAATTCAATTGCATTGTCTACTTCAGAATTTTCTATGTATGGGCCTGCTTGAATGAATCTGGACGTCTGCTTTGTCCAGATGCATCCAGGAAATTCACTCCAAGTAGATTTGCATTTGGGAACTCTGTGACAACATCAGTTGAAAGTTTTGGTCTCCTCTTCATCTACTCCAATGTCATGGCGTACTTGAATGAATCTGGATGTCATTACGTCCAGATGCATCCAGGAAACCCCTGCTGTGAGTCTGTTCTTAAATTTAAACCCACCAACTTCCATTGCCTGGTAGAAGTTCTATTTGCTTCACGAATTTTTTTTATTTTTATTTTTATTTTTTAACTATACTCTTCTCTCAATTTTCCTCACACTACCTACCTACCACTACTCCTACCTATAGGCATAGCATACCAGAGCCGTGTTACTCTTCTCTCAATTTTCCTCACACTACCTACCTACCACTACTCCTACCTATAGGCATACGGGGAAACCCGTAGCATACCAGAGCCGTGTTTTTACGGCCCCTCGAGCCTGCAGGGCACCCGCTACCCAAGAGATAGACCACTGGATCGCCCGATCGGCATCAAGCAGAGTGTGCTATGTTTGTAGGGGAGGGGCCTGAGGGGAGGCACGGGGGATTGGTCCGTTTTATTTCGATAGCCAGCCAGGAAAAAAAAAAAAAAAAAAAAAAAGGTTGAGAAAAACGTGAGAGTCTTTCAAGTGCGTGCCGGCTTTTTTTTTTTTTTTTTTTTTTTTTTTTTTTTTTTGGTTCTCGTTTCACAGGTGTAGACGGCTAGAACCATTCGCTGGTACAATGCATTGGGGACAATGGGTACCCTCAGGTTGTACCGTTGTACCATTGGGGGCAGGACGGGTACCAATTTGGGAGTAGGACTGGCTGGTATACCATCGGAGGTATAGGATTGGTACCGATTGTTGGTACCATAGAATATGAATGGGGTATTGGTTGGTGGTGTAATCCTTTTTATGAATCTGATGCGAAATTGTGACTCCATTCAATCCAAGAACGAAGATTCCAAAAGAAACTGCATATTCAGTGGTGTGTGATGCTGCATGACTTGGGCAGTACGGTGGGGATGCAACATTCATGAGATGCGCGGACACTTTCTCACAAAGGACCTCGCCACACCAGTGTCGAAACGAAAAAGGAACGAATGCATCTTCCCCAGAAAGTGATAAGATGCATCGGTTGCTATTCATAGTAACGGATGCATCTTGCCATTCTCTGCGGGAAGATGCACCATGCACTCGTACTTCTGTCGTTTCGGCAGTGGTGTGGCGAGGTCCAAACTCTGTTGCGTCAAACCACTGACTTAAGTTGAGCAACATTTTTTCTTTTCTTTTCTTTTCTTTTTAAAACTATATGTTCTTCTCTCAATTTCTGTTTTTTTTGGCCTTTCACTACCTTCCTCCTTCCTACCACTACCTAGCATAATTGTGTTGGTTAGAATTAGCCCACTGACAAATGGACTAACACACATGCATGTATCATAGGAACACACTCAGGAACACTCTCAACCACATTATACACGGCACTTCGTGATACGGAACAAGAAACACATGTGACAACGCCACCACCTATACACAGCATGTGTCAACACCCTATAGCACATATACAGGCGTAGACACAACAGCACATGGCATGGAGTACATAAATAGTAATGGATGGTATTTGTTGTTAATAGGTTACAATAACAATACTGGGCCATAATAGTAACACTGTGAGCGACAGCTCGCCGAAGTCTACATTTAGAACAGATCTGAAGGAGGGATGGGCCCTTTGTCACCCGGCCCCTCAACCATACTGACAACTCGTACTTGCATTGCTTTCGTTTCATAGCTTTCGTTTCTTACATTGTACTCTACAGGGATGCTGGACCTGATTTCCAGCAGGTGATGCTCCCCACCAATAGATGGAGCCTCCCCGACGGTGCTAGCGGTGTCTGCTCTTATTGGCACCCCTATAGCAGCCGATCGGGTTGCCCTGCAAGCATAGCGCCTTGCAAACGAGGCAAATCATGTTGCCACCCGCCCAAACAGCTGTAGTCAGAGATGGGGTGGGGCCGCTGGTGGGGGTCCGGCTAACGCAACGGCCGAGCATTTTGGCAGTAGCTGCACCTCCCTTTCTCATCGTCCCCCGCCCCGGACCGAAGAACAGCAGTGTCCAAGGCCAACACTCCCACATAGCACACACCACACACACACCCACTCGCACTCCCACTCACACCCGTGTTGGTAATACACCCCTCTAATACTGATCAGGGGTATCGAGAGGACTATCTCAGTCCATTGGCACCAAGTGCACCCCCGCCGCTCATGGGGGTTGAACCCACAACCACCTGAATGCCACTTGTGTGCCTAACCAACTGAGCTTGCCCATGTGTGTGTTTTTCTTGGACAAATTGGAAAACGGAAAGGAACAAAAGACCCTTGAATCTCAGACCCCCTGGATTTAACATCCCCGGTCCCCACCCTCCGCCTTTTTTTTTTGTCATTTTTTATTGTGATATGTGCAGTGTTTCTATGCCACTTCACTGTAGTGTGTATTGTATGGGCACTCGCTCCACTACTGTCCACATGCACAAAAGACAAAAATCATGTCGGTGTATCTTTCCATGTTCTAGCGAAAGATTCACTCGGTTTTTGCACACATCGATCGGATGGAAATCGTGCAAGAATGGGCCTCGCTCCACTACCCTCCACTCTACGAAAATGGACAGTCAGACGTCAGTCCACTTACTGTCCACTGCCCATGTGAAAAACTGCTTGGCCAGTAGTCAAAATTTTCAACAAAAAAATAAATAAAAATCGGATGGACAATCGACTGTCGCAATCGTATATTGTATAATTCCCAGCCTGCAAAAATCGTTATGTGGAAAGTCCTTTCAAGGATCTCACTACGATGCGGACCCCAACTTGGAGAGTGTACTTGGAGTTTGGGCGTACAAAGCGCTTTCGACGTCCTGTCTTGTATTTTTTTTTTTTTTTTTTTTTTTTTTTTTTAATTGAAACAGCCCGCGGGGTGCTAGGAGTGCCTGATAGGAGCAGGCACCGCGAGCACCCGAACT